CACTGAGAAATTGGCAAGAGAGAGATTAAAGTTGTCTGTAATTATCTGTTACTACTTTCTACATAGTGTTTATTGAAGCTGGAAAATCCTTTGGCTCTGTGGCCTCATGGAAAGCCCCAATTCAGTCTTCAAGCTTAACTCCAATGTCATTTCCTTCAGAGAACCTTCTCTGACCTTCTCAGGCACGTGTTTTTTCTCCCTGGAGCTCCAGCTGAGCCCGGCACATGCATTTAGTGGAAGAGTTTTCATACTTCATGATGATTGAACATAGAGATGTGTGTTTGGATCCCTCAAGGTCTGGCCCTGTGATTTACTTGTCTTTGTCCTCAGTGCTTGGAAAAAGAGAAGGAGAGATGACTTAAATCGTAGTTCACAGCTCGCTGGACTGCAGAAGTCCCTGAGGACGAAAACTGTGAATCAGAGCAAGGTTCTGGAGTATGAGCTGCAGGCAGGGGAGGAATGGGTGTGTTCTCTGGTGCAGGAGGAAAGCTGCAAACAAGAACAGATGCTCCTTCACTTACAATGGGGCTGCATCCCAGTAAACCTGCTGCCAGTGAAAAATATCGCAAGTTGAAAATGCATTGAATAGAACTAACCTAGAGAAATCATGGTTTAGCCTAGCCTACCTTAAACATGCTTAGAGCATTTACATTTGTCCCAGTTGGACAAAATCATCTAACACAAAGCTGATTTTGTATGAAGTGTTAAATATCTTATGTAATTTATTGAATACCATATGGAAAATGAAAAACAGAATGGCCGTATGAGTCTCTGAAGTACTGTTTCTACGGAATTCATATTGCTTTTGCACTACCATAAAGTCAAAAAATAACTAGTTGAAAAATTACAAGTAAGGACTGTCTGCATTTGGTGCCCAAAGAATAGAAAGCAGCAGAAATAGCAATAGAAATAGTACTTATCAAAATTCATGTTCTCTTCTTCCTAAGCACAGAGTCATACCACATTTCCCAGCAGCCTGGCAGTGAGGTATGGCTGTGGGACTGACTCCTGCCAGTGGGGGATGGTGGAAGCCCCATGAGGATTTCACGTGGGGATCCTCCAGGCATTTCCCTTTTCTGCTGGCTGGATGCCAGTGTCTAGAGAGAGCAGAATCAGAGCTGCTCCCCATCACCTTCCCCACCCAGCAGGGGACACAAGTTTGAACTCTTAAGCAAGTAAGAAATAACTTTTTGCTGTGTTAGGCCACTGAAATTGGGAGGTTTGTTATTGCAGCCGGCAATCCCTAGCTCATGCAGAGCTTTCGGCTATTTTTCACCTGAGGTGGTGGTAGCCCGGACTCATCTCTTACCTGAAGCATTCTTGGGGTTCTTCAGGTTATAATGAGAGAGAAGACCCCTAAAGTGGAGAAAAAAATTCTTCAACTGGTGAGATGAGGTTTCAGAAAACCTTGATTTGACTATTAAGAGATATGTGATGTCTGGGCATGGGGACCCCAGCACTTTGTGAGGCCAAGGAGGGTGGATCACTTGAAGTCAGGAGTTTGAGACCAGCCTAGCCAACATGGTGAAAATACAAAAATTAGCTGGGTGTAGTGGTACACACCTGTTATCCCAGCTACGCGGGAGGCTGAGGCAGGAGAATTGCTTGAACCTCGGAGGTGGCGGTTACAGCGAGCCAAGATTGTGCCGCTGCCCACCAGAGTGACAACTCTGTCTACAAAACAAAACAAAACAAAACCCCCAAAACAAGAGATATTTGGCTTCATCGTGTCCTGAAGCTGGTGAAATTGGATGTAGCTCAGTTAACATGAGCCTTATGGTTAATATTAAATATTTTATTTATTTCTTCCATTGATTATTTTAATATTAGAGGAGATTGCTTAATAACATAAGAGAATATTCAAAACAAACTGTTAAGCAAAAAAGTAGAAAATAATAGATTCAGCATAATCCCACTTTTAAAAAGCAAGCCAAGAACCCTAAAAACAAACTGTTAAGCAAAAAAGTAAAAAAATGGTAGATTCAGCACAATCCCACTTTTAATAAAGCAAGCCAAGAACCCTAAAAATATGTTCACATATACATTGACCTAGGAAGGTGACATCAAGCTATTGAGTGGTCATTTGTAACTAGTAATAATAAGTGTGATTTTTGTATTTGTCTTTATTCAGTGCTTTTCAACCTCTTTCCAACAGACATTCATCACTTCGAGATTAACAGCAGCAAAAGCAATAGAAGTTATTTTGAAGGAAAATATAGAGAAAGATGTTGTCTTGCAATAAAAAAAAAAATCCAGCCTCTTAGTTCGTTATTACTGGAAGTTCTCAGTCAAACTCATATCCCAAGCAGAGGCTTGGGAATTCACTAGTACTTCAATAGTCCTAAAGCTGCAAGCAACAATCTTTGTTTCTGTTGAATGAACAATCTTATTTCTTTTGCTTCTGTTGAATTATGCAGGGTATTTAACCTAGAACCTGAAAAGTAGGAAGATCAGGCCAGGCACAGTGGCTCATCCCTGTAATCTCAGCACTTTGGGAGGCTGAGGTGGGAGGATCATTTGAACCCAGGAGCTGGAGACCAGCCTGGGCAACATAGTGAGACTTCATCTCTATAAAAAGTAAATAAATAAATAACAAATTGGCTGGGTGTAGTGACATGTACCTGTAGTTCCAGTTAGTTGGGAGGCTGAGGTGGGAGGATTGCTTGAGCCTGGGAGGTTGAGGCTGCAGTGAGCTGAGACCGTGCCACTGCACTCCAGCCCAGGTGAGAGAGTGAGACTCTGTCTCAAAAGAAAAAAAAAAAAAAAAAAAAAGGCAAGCAAGAAAGAAAAGGAGGGTAGGGGCCTGGCACGCTGGCTCCCACCTGTAATCCCAACACTTTGGGAGGCCTAGAAGTTCACTTGAGCTAGGAGTTCAAGACCAGCCTTGGTGACATGGTGAAACCCCGTCTCTACCAAAATATGAAAAATTAGCTGGGCATGGTGGCATGCATCAGTTGTCCCAGCTACTTGGGAGGCCAAGTTGGGAGAATTGCTTGAGCCTGGGAGTTGGAGGTTGCAGTGAGCCAAGATTGTGCCACTGCACTCCAGCCTGGGTGACAGAGTGAGACCTCATCTCAGGAAAAAAAAAAAAAAAAAAAGAGAAAGTAGGAAGATCTCACAGAAAATTTTGTATTTCTAAAGACTTTTAAAGACTTTATTGCTTTCCAGTAAGCATGTCTTTATACTCTTTTTATACTCTTATTAAATTTGGGAAATATATTCGTTTTCTTGGCTAAACTCAGGCAAATCTAGCCGTGGGAGTATTCCAGTGCTGTCAGCATCAGAACAATTCTTTCCTTCTGCTTTGATTTACTTGTTTTTAAGAGACTGAGTCTTGCTCTGTCACCCAGGCTGGACTGCAGTGGCACGATCATAGCTAGCTCACTGCAGCCTCCAATGCCTGGGCTCAAGTGATCCTCCCACTTCAGCCTCCAGAGTAGCTGGGACTACAGGCATGTGCCCCCATGCCCAGCTAATTTTTTTTTTTTAAGAGACAGAGTCTCATTATGTTGCCCAGTCTGGTCTCTCCTGGGCTCAAGTGATCCTCCCACCTTGGCCTCCCAAAGTGCTGAGATTACATGCATGAGCCACCACATTCAGTCTTTCTTCTGGTTTATTACCACATCCTAGCTAAGAGTGTGATGAGTCTTCCTTTCGTGAGATGAACAGAATTCCGCCAGCAGGTTAAAAATACTTCACATTCTAAGGAAATGGAAAGCTGATCAAAGTGAGGGTCTCAGGAACATCGGGCACCACACAGGCAACTGAGATTTCAGCACCCCTCCTGCCTCTTCTTTTGGCTACCACTGCTATATCTGGTCATCCTATAACACAAATGTTCTTTCTACTAGAACAGAATAAATGTGGCTTTATATTAGGGAAATTTTCATGTTCAGAAAATGTCACCGCTTGCTGTTTGAACCCTAAACACAACTCAAGGAAAAGGTAATGGAATTAGAGTAACATTTGCATACCAGACATCATTGATCTCTAAATACCAAGCATTTACTATGGAACGACCTGGATGGAAATGATATAGACATGAGAAATAGAATTACATGTTTTGAGGAAGCGCAGATTATTGGAAAGGATGTAGACTTTAGAGGTCGTCAGACATAGGGTCAAGCTCCAGCTCTGTCACTTACAAGTGGCACAACCTGAAGCTAGTTTTTAACTTCTCTGAATCTGTTCTTTCAGTGGAATGTGAGGATCAGAGCACCTATCTTGCAGAGTTTGTTGTTGGGAGAACTAAGCAATAAAAAGTACAAAAGCACCAAGCACAGTGGCTGGTACACAGTAGATGCCCGTTTATCATGCAGACTTGGGCGCTAAGGCAAAAGAAAATCAGATTGGAGTGAAAATGGGGAAATGTCGAGTGAAAAAACAAATCTTTTATTTTTTGAGATCAAGGCTCACTTTGTTGCCCAGGCTGGAGTGCAGTGGCGCAATCTCTGCTCACTGCAAACTCTGCATTTCAGGTTCAAGCAATTCTCCTGCCTCAGCCTCCCGAGTAGCTGGGGTTACAGCATGTGCCACCACGCCCAGCTAATTTCTGTATTTTTAGTAAAAACAGTGTTTTGCCATGTTGCCCGGGCTGGTTTCGAACTCCTGGGCTCAAGCAATCCACCCACCTCAGCCTCCGAAAGTGTTGAGATTATAGGTGTGAGCCACTGCGCCTGGCTGAAAAAAAGTTTTAAAAAATTAGCTCTGTGTAGTGACCCATGTCTATAGTCCCAGCTATTTGGGAAGGTGAGGCAGGAGAATCACTTGAGCCCAGGAATTTGAGGCTGCAATGAGCTGTGATTGTGCCACTGCACCCCAGCCTGGGCAACAGAATGAGACCCTGTCTGTACAAAAATTTAAAAAATCTTTATATTAGGTATTTATGCTTATAATGAATTAAAAATACATATTCTTACACGTGGTAAAAAGTGAACATGCTCCTCTTTACCTCTTCTCTATTAATCCCTCTCCCCAGGGAAAACCACTTCTTTTTTTTATTCTTAGAAACTGATGTTTATTTTCCATCAACCTTACTTCCATGTTGCTTAAGAGCCGGTACAAGAACAGCTTAAGACCATTCAGTGGTTGCTCCGACCCATTCAGTGGCCTGAGCAGTTGGAGCTGCAGACCAGTCTTCCGTGGCAGGCTGGGTGCTCCAGTCCTCAGTAGGGAACTGCTGAATAGGCACAGAGGGCATCTGCACGCCATCAGACCAGTCTGCAACCTCAGGCTGAGGAGCAGATAACTCAGGAGCCGGAGTAGTCCATTCGCCCTGAAACTCCTCCTTGGTCACAGGCTTTTCAGCAGCAGCCTGCTCTTCTTTTTCAATCTCTTCAGGGTCTCTGTAGAAGTAGAGATCAGGCATGACCTCTCATGGGTGTTCGTGGGAAATGGTGCCACGCATGCGCAGAACTTTCCCGCCCAGCATCCACATCAAGCCCACTGAGTGAGCTCCGGTGTTGTTGCATGGGATGGCAATGTTCACATAGCACAGAGAAGATCTGTGTGACACAGAGCAATGGTGGGAAGGTTAACATAAGATGCTTCTGTGTGAGTCAGAATCTCACTCTGTCTCTCAGGCTGGAGTGTAGTGGCAGGATCTCGGCTCACTGCAACTTCCACCTCCTGGGTTCAAGTGATTCTCTTGCCTTAGCCTCCAGAGTATATTTATCAGTGCGGTAAGAGGCAGTAGAACCTAGGAATTAAGAGCATAGACTACTTCGGTTGGATACTAACTTGTGCTCCTTAGGTTCTGTATGAACTTGGACAAATGACTTCCCCTCTCTGGGTCTTAATTTCTCCATCTGTAAAATGTGTTCTGATAAAATGCTTGTAGTAGCATATGAAAAATGCTCATAATCAGTAATCCTCAAAGAAATGAAAATTAAAATCACAGTGAGATATCATAACAGTCAGATTGGCTAGTATTAAAAAGTGAGAAGATAACAGATGTTGAGGATATAAAGAAAAAGGAATGCTTATACACTGTTGGTGGGAATGTAAATTAGTGTGACTTTTATGGAAAACAGTATGGAGATTCTCAAAGAACTAAAAATAGAGCTATCATTTGATCTAGCAATTCTACTTTTGCACATCTACCCAGAGGAAAATAGATAAAAATTATATCAAAAAGATACCTGCATTCGTATGTTTATCACAGCGCTATTCAAAATAGCAAAGATGTGGAATCAACCTAAGTATCCACCAATGGCTAATCAGATACAGAAGATGTGGTGTATATATACAATGGAATACTATTCAGCCATAAAAAAAAATCAAATGTTTTTTGCAGCAACATGGATGGAACTGGAGGCCATTATCTTAAGGGAAACAACTCAGAAAGTCAAATACTGCATGTTCTCACATGTAAGTGGGAGCTGAGTCATGCATATACATTGACAGAGAGTGTGCAGTGGTAAACGTGAGAGACTGGGAAAGGTGGGAGGGTGGAGGATGGTGGGCGATGAGAAATTACTTAATGAGTCCAGTCCACACTCTTTAGGTGATGGATGCACTCAAAGTCCAGACCTCACCACTATGCAATATAGCCATGTAATCAAATTATACTTGTACCCCTGAAATTTATAAAAATAGGCTGGGTGTGGTGGCTCACACCTATAATCCCAACATTTTGGGAGGCCAAGTTGGGCAGATCACCTGAGGTAAGGAGTTCGAGGCCAGCCTGGCCAATGTAGTAAAATTCCATCTCTGCTGAAAAATATAAAAATTAGCCCGGTGTGGTGGTGCGTGCCTGCAGTCCCAGCTACTGCGGAGGCTAAGGCAGGAGAATCACTTGAACCTGGGAGGTGAAGGTTGCAGTGAGCCAAGATTGTGCCATTGCACTCCAATCTGGGCAACAGAGCGAGACTGTGTCTCAAAGAAAAAAAAAAGTATACAAATAAAAGGAAAAAAAAATGCTTGTTGTGGGGATGAAACAAATTAATGCAGATAGAGCCTCTAGAATGATACTACGGCATGTAACAAGCCATAATGAATCTGTTTTTAGTGAAGTTTTAAGTTCTTTTTAAACTTTATTACAAACAGTGCTACGATGAAGGTTTTTATACACATCTTTTTGAACACGTTTACTAGTATTTTTACAGGACAGAAGTCAGAATGAGGGATCGTGTAGGATATTCACACAAAATTAGAATGGACATTGCCTGATTGCCTTCCAAAAGTTGTATCTGTTTACCCTCCAGCCAAGAGTGTACAAAATGGTTCATATTCTCAGACTTTTGCCCAAACTGGATTTTATCATTTTGAAAAAAATTGTGCCCATCTAGTAACGATTGATCTTTGACACACTGAGTTACAGTATAAAGAACGCTTTACCCAAATGGCCCACAAGGCGACCTAACTGGGCGGAGGCCATACGTCACATATTTTAACATTTCAATAGAAAATTCTTATCACTATCCAACATCAAGGCTTATAAAATTCTTATCTTTTCTCTCTATAATGCTTCTATGTGTCTTTATTCTGAACTGAGGGTATATGAAAATAAATGTTCCTTCCCTTGATTTCCTTCTTTTTAAATTCTGCAGATGCTGAGAAATACTTGAGTGCTCAGAAGTCATGTTCTGCTTGCTGCAAGCATTTGATACCCTATCATTAAAATAAGAAATAAACTGTTATCCTCTGCCCTCTTCTGTGCATTTTCACGTGTGTGTGTATATATGTATATGTGTGTATATATTTTAAAAATGTATATATATGTATATATTTAAAAATACACACACACACACACACACACACACACACACACACACACACATATATATATATATATATATATTTCTTATTTTTTTTTTTAGACAGTCTCACTCTGTCATCCAGGATGGAGGGCAGTGGTGCGATCGTGGCTAACTGCAGCCTCAATCTCCTGGATTCAAGTGATCCCCCCACCTCAGCCCCACAGTAGCTGGGATTACAGACACATGCCACCACACTTGGGGTAATAACTGAAAAAATATATATATTTTTTTGTAGAGACTGAGTCTTGTTATGTTGCCCAGGCTGGTTTCAAACTCCTCTGTGCAAGGGATCCTCCCACCTTGGCCTCCCAAAATGCTAGAATTGCAGGTGTGAGCCACCAAGCCCAGCCCTCTACTTTCTGAGACCTATCTTTCCAAAACTGCTCTCTAGGAGACAAGCAGCCAGATTGTAAAGGATTTAGCCTCTATGACAGACCCAAATTGGAGAGAAACAACTTGGAAACTCCAGAGTTAAACCAAATTAGTGTTCAAGGCCATATATCTGCATTTTCACATTCTTGAGTTGGGAATCCACATTCGGCTGCTATGCAGTGGGAATTGTTCGGGAAGTTTTCTGGGCTGCCCTGTCTGCTCGAGGGGTTTTATTTGCCATCTTGTTCGCCCTCTGCTGGTTTTTCAAAAGAAGAACATGAATGGGAAGAATGGCTTTCTCTGACCCTGGGAGATGTTTTCCTGGCTTATTTTTGTTCTGGGAAATCAAAATTCCAGTTGAACTCTGTAACTATAAAAATGTTAAGAGAAGACATGTAGGTTTCAATGGAATAGATTAATTTGAATTACTGTAGGTGTTCGGAGATGGGGTATGGGAATAGGAAAAAACTCTGGCTTTACTTCTTTTTATACATATCTTACTGTGTAGTTCTTCAACTATGCATTTTCTGGTATGTATAATTGATATTACATCATATATTTAAAGAATAGAATGCATGTGAATCTATATCAATATCTCTGTCTATCTCTGTCTACATGAGCTATCTACATCTATTAATATATCTGTAACTATTCTGGAACCTTGCTGAGCTGAAAGCTTCCTGAGACTGAAAAAGAACACGAGGATTGACACCTTCCACTTATAACCAGACCCCTCAATCCAACAATCCAACCAAATATAATCGAGTATTTTCCAAGCCCTAAAAGGCTTAAAAAAAAATTTTTTTTTTGAGAAGGAATCTTGGTCTGTCACCCAGGCTGGAGTGAGTGGTAGATCTTGGTTCACTGCAAGTCCCAGGTTCAAGCAATCAAGCGATTCTCATGCCCCAGCCTCCTGAGTAGCTGAGATTACAGGCATGCGACACCACGCCTGGCTAATTTTTGTATTTTTAGTAGAGGTGGGGTTTTGCCATGTTGGCCAGGCTGGTCTCAAACTCCTGACCTCAGGTGATCCACCCTCCTCAGCCTCCCAAAGTGCTGGGATTATAGGCATGAGCCACTGTGTCCAGCCAAAAAGGCCTCTTTTAATTTACAAGTTCTAGATAAGATTTATTCTAGAAAATCCTCAAAGCTTCTTGTCATTATAATGACAAAGATTCATTGAAGAGCCCATAACTTCAAGAGTTCTGGCCTGCATGGGAAGTGGGCACATGACAGCAAAGCCCACACAGGGAGGTGACATCACACAGGGAGGTGACATCATACAGGGAGGTAAGGGCCTGGTCACCAGCCTCCTTTCTGAGCAGGTGGTGATGTTTTTCTTAGTCTGGCATTCTTTACCTCCCTCTGATCAGAATGATTGGCAGATGAGCCAAACCTGGCCACTTCTTTGCTGGGATTTTACGTGAATGCTGGAAGAGAGAAGCTATCTCTTTTCTCTAGGGTCACACCTCTGAGTTATAAAGGTCCGAACCTGTCTGTGATACTCATCTATTCTCACCGACTGTATGGTAGATGCCAGGGAGAATGGACATGCAGAGTAGATACAATTAAAATGTGTTTTGAGGTAGAATCTGCTGGAGGATTGAATCAGAGGCAAGAGACATGCAAAAGGGAAGAGTCAAGAATAACTTCTATATTTCTAAATGAGTTCCTGGATGAATGTGTTGCCATTTGTTAATATGGGAGGAGAACCAGGAGTGGGATTGGAGATGAAGCCAGAGCTTGGCGGTGACAATTGGGAGTTCTGTTTTGGACATATGGACTTTGAGATGCTGTGAGATAGCCAAGTGGAAATGTCAAGTGTGTAGTTATATATGTGACTTTCGAGAAAGGGAAAAAGATTTGAGCTGGAAGTATTAATTTAGAAGCTGTGACATAAACTGTATGTAAAGATATTGGAGTGGATGAGAATATTTAGGTATAGAGGATATTAAAAAGAGGGCCCAGGACCAAGTTTTGAGGAGAATCAAATTTTGCTGATTGAGTAGAGAATAACTTAACACAGGAGAGGCTGGTAAGATGGGGAAAAGTGGAATCGGAATAGGGTGCCGCAGAATTGGAGAGATGAGGGTGTCAGAAAGGAGAGAGTGGTCAACTCAATCAAAAGCTGATGAGAATTAGAGAAAGTTGAGGTCAGAGACACATTTATTGGGCATGGCAATATACACAGCATTGGTGAAGTTGACAACAGCATTTTTGGTACAGTAATGGGCATGAAAAGTAGTTTTGAGGCAGGAGAATAGGGTCTGGAGGCAGGGAGTCTAAGGCCAATTCACGCTGACTTCCTGGAATTAAATCA